AGATCAGAATAGCCCACGCTTCGAATGTTAGCTGTTCTTCGGTTACCTGCCTTACTACCTTTGATCCCAAGGATGCTGATTTCTCCAAAATAAGCTCCGTCACTAAGGACCACAAACTGGGTAACACCATCGTCTGCTACTACAGCGAGCTTTCCTTCTTTGATGATATACATTTCCCTACCAATATCCCCTTTCTTACAGATGTAATCCCCAGGACTGAAAACTTGAGGCTGGAGCTTCAGGACCAACTCAACAAGCAAACCAGCTTCACAGTCTTGAAAGATGCGCACTTTTCTTAGGGTTTCCAGATGTACGTTAATGGCTATCTCTGCCTTCAGCTTGTCTGGCAGATTTTTTAACACCTGCTTTTCATCGCAGGTTTTCCCCTCAGTCCACAGGTAGTCAAACCACTTCACCACCCTCGCCTCCAAGTCTTTAGTGACCTTCCGAAATTGCATGTACTGCTTGATAGAGTCGATCTTCGCCTGGAACTCTACACGTGCAGCATTCATGTTGGAGATCATGGCTCCAACATTTCCAACAATTGTTGCAAAGATCAAAACCCCAGTAAGAAAGTCAACCACGACAAAAAAGTATTCCACGTCTCGGACCGGCGGGGGTGTCTCACCAATAGTGGTCAAGGTAAGAGTGGACCAGTAAAAGGAATAAATGTACTGTCTGGACAGCTGAGAAAACTCTGGTTTTTGTGGCCCGGGGTAGACCCAAGTGTCTGACCCAAAACCAAGTATTTTTGAGACGGCAAAGTACAGGCACCCGTTCCAGTGGATGATGATGATGATGTAAAGTACAAGATTAGCGATTCGGAAGATGTTTGGAAAATTGGTTCGCGTTTCAGTCCGGTCGAAGAACTCAAAGAGACGGCCTAACCTAAAGAGACGGTTGAACCTCCACTCTGGGTTGTGGATTCCGATATAGAAGAAAGCAATGTCAGTAGGAATCAGTGAGAACATGTCTAACTTGTACTGAGGTGTCTTCATGTACTTTTCTTTCAGGATCTTTTCATCCTTTACAAGAAGTCCTTGCTCCAGAAAACCTATTGACAAACAACAAAACGATAGTCATTATCATATACGGTATTGAAGATTTTATATAATGACAAATTGAAATAGTTTCCATCAGTACCTGTCCTGGCTCTCACAAAGATGTCCATGCAGTAGAGGGCATCTGACGCATAGTCCAAAACCAGCCAGAGTGTTGAATTTTGATACTGTAGCTCATTAAAACAAGCTCTGTATGGAAACAAACCATGACTGAGACCCATGAACACTAACAACGATAAGAGAAAATACTAAATACCATGAATTCAAACCTTGCCACCAGGAATATCAGATTGTAGAACACTGGGACAGATATTGTGAGCAACCAGTAGTAATACATATCCGTGGCTGGGTCCATGATCCACACCTCCTTCCTAAATGAGAAGAAGTTCCCTTTTAATTAAAAGTATGCATTTTTTTTAATTACAAAAAGTTTGCAATGTGAGCTTAATTTTGGTAGTAGTCACAGCCGATCTGCAGCCTGGTTCATGGATAAAGTGAATATTACCTAACTGATTGGAGAGTAGTTTCTGGAGGTTTCAAGGAGGTAATGTGCACATGCAAAAAAGCAGTCTTACATATTTGTTTAATATGTGCGTTGAAGGACATGTCCTGGTCAAAAACGACTCCAAGGTTCCTCACAGCGTTACTGGAGGCCAAGGTAATGCCATCCAGAGTAAGAATCTGGTTAGATACCATATTT